AGAAATGTTTCTTTCACAAGAAATGTATAAAATTACAGTACTAAACAGACGATAGGTCGCCTAACTCGCCGTAGCGTGACGCTAGACGGCGAAAAATATATATTTAATTATAATAAAGTTACAATAAATTAAGTTAATATATAATTATATATACAGTACCTAATTTATATATAATTAATATATAATTATATGTACAGTACCTAATTTATATATAATTTATATAATACTGTCCAGACGATAGAAATCTCTCCGTAGCGTGGCGCTACGGACGGCGGGTAAGTAGTTCGGCTGCCCGATGACGTTTTACGTATTATAGGAGTTATTTTTACCGTTGTTTACGGATAATGCCACAATTTTTATAGGAATCATAACTATAGGAAATGGTTTTATAGGGGATCTACTGTAATATATTCTGAGAGAATTTGTGGTAACTAGTATGCAAGTGTATGAAATTTGGAAACATATTCTTTACTGTAGGAAATTTGAAGCATGTAGAAAAAATTTTTGACAAGATTTAAATCCTGGACAGATATAATTAATTTGTTGTGTTTTTCAAAAGTTGATTATTATTTTTTGTTATCTTTTACTAGGCTATTATATTAATTTATTAAATAGTACTAACTCCAGTTTTATGTTATACTTTAACCTCCTTGTAAGAAATAAGGTTCATAAAATAAAGAATTGAATTATGAATTATTAACAACTATAATTATAAATGGCATTTTTAATCAAACATCAAACTTTAATACTCAGCAAACACACAAATATATATATATTACTTATTAAGTATAGCAGTAGTCTAATTCTAATAAAATAGTTTTGAATTTTATTTTCCAATAAAATTTAAGATATTATGTGTAAATACAAATTTTTTATACATTTTAACTGTCTTAATTTCATTTTAACATAATTCCATTTATCTGAAGATATTTCTGACAAAACATAAATTTGGTCCCTTAACATCAAATATATATATATATAATACATATGTACATATATTCAAAAATATGATATACTAAATTATTAAAAAATAGCTAATTTCAACTAAATTACTGAATTATTACGGTATATAATTTAAAAATGTTTTATACATAAATATATTAATATATTGTGTGTGTATATATATATATGTATAACTAATTCTTTGGTATGTAAAGATTGCATCTTAATAACAATGTAAAACAGTACACTCTTGCTAATCTGGCCCCAGATTCACAAATGTCTTATAAGATATGACATAGTATCTTTTTGATACTATGTTATATTTTAAAATTACCAGAAAGTAATAACATTTTATATTTCGCATTCACAAAAAACATCATAGCATTTATGACAAAACAGAAGAAACTGGTAAGGAGTGTGTGTCTTATGACATCATTAATGACTACTATTGTTTTAATAGAGCCAATCAGAATGCATTTATTAATGACTTTTTCAAAATTCCTCATTTTTCATATTTGTAAAATTGAGGAAGTAACACAATTTTATTTCATTAGAATCAAAATGCTTTGTGATGGCATACGAAGAAAAATGTTATAGAAAGTATAAAATATAAGATAAAGCTATAACTGACCTAGACATGGAACAAAAAATTCCCAATATTGTTAATAGTTATATTAATGGAAATATTGAAGAAGTTCAAAAGAAATTGACAAACTAATAGTTTTTTCCTATGACATTCTATTGATATAAACAATTTTAATTCTACATGAGGAATTCTATCATTTTTTTTGGCATTTAATAACATCAAAGAAGTTTGGATTCAAATCTTTAAAAGAGACAATTGGGAAAAATGAAAGACGTGATAATCTATTAATAGAGCCAAATAATTTGACACCACTTTTTCCAGTACTTTCTATTGGCATACTATGATATGTAATAGCTCTTGTATGAGACTTCTTACAATATTGTAACTTACAATTTACTTTGTGAATACAAGACTTTTTGTTTCTGACAACTTACAATGAATTTTGTCATAAGTTATGATACAAAGTGTTTGTGAATCCAGGTCCTGGCCTCTCAATTATCTGGCATACCCCATTATAGTATGTTTCTCCCTTATATTTTTTTAAATACATTAAACTTGTAACACTAAATTTAATAAAGAATTAAACTTATAATTATTGTATCTTTACATAATTTCATAACAACAAAAAACAGTACAGCTCCAAAAAGAACCAGTACCAAAGGGCTGCAGGGCATGCCATTTATTGCCTTCAGGCAAACTTTAGGCCTATACACATTCACTAATCTGGCACTTGTGTGCAAGGAATGGTTGAATTAGCAAGATTCTAGTGTACTTATTTAAAATGTCTCTTTGGTCTACAAAATTTTCATTTTTTCATAATTAACAAATTTTTAAATTTAAAGCTAACTTATTCGTAATTATTAAAAATAAGTGTATACATATATTTTATAATACTTATATCATTAAGTATATATATATAAAAAAATTATGATATGAATGAAATTTTATATTTTATATAGTCTGATTATAATTTCCACATTCTGCAGCACATCTAATATGCTTGATTTGTCGCAATCTATAATCATGTAAAGTAAATTGTGTCCATGTCAATAACTGAATAATGGCACATATTAATGGCATTGTCACAAGAAGCCAAAAACACCCTTCTCTGTAAATGGGAGTGTTAATGATTTGACTGCGTCCAAGTGAGAGAGAGAGTTCATTTTCTTGAGAGGTAAAAAGTTCTTTACCTAATAAAATAGTTTTTTATTAGAATGCATTAATCAATGTTTCTACCACTATTTGTTAATTTTTAATAAAATAATAAGGAATTATTTTCTTATTATAATGCTCAATGTTTATTTAAAACTTACCTGAATACCAAGATAACAACCATGTACCTAAAACAGGAGCAATTGTTTGTCCTGGTTTAGATAAAAGAGATGATGTACCAAATATAAGAGCAGATACTGCCTGAGGACGATTGTGGATTACCATATCTTCATCTACCAAATCGCTAATTATTAAATTTAATAATTTGCAAGTTCCTTCCGTAAATATACGATTACTGAAAGTATAAATTGAAAACTTGAAAATACCAAAATATTTTAATTTTAAGAAAATTATAATTTAAATTCAAAAATTTTCAAAGTAATTAACTCTCCCTAAAAATTTTTAAGTTACATATTTTTTCTGTATTAAATAAAAAATAATATTCATTTTGTTCAAATTTTTATAAGGAGATAACTTTTACATTTCACAAATCATTTGTTAATCATTAGAAACTAAATAAATCATTCTGGTCTTCAAAAAATTAGGAAAACAATTTTGCCCCTTTATCATATTTTCAACAGTTTGTAAACAAAAATTTATGTCAATGTATATGTTATGGCTAAAGCTAGAATTAACTGACTAATGCTATTTTTATCCAAGTATTTTGGTTAAAGCAAGTTACAATCTATTAATTTTGATCTTTATTCAAGTCAGAACTGAATAAATTTGACATTATCCAAAAAAAAAAAAAAAAAAAAACAAACAGATAAGGCAAGAACAAAACTTAAAATTTAGGATTTATCCACCCCATTTTGGATAAAATAAGGAGACAATTTATGGTTTCACTTTAGCCAGATAATCTGCAGTTTTTCCAATACAAGTTGGATGGATAAAGGCAAGGGGCACATCTACATGGGGACTAATAGGTCCTGCCCTGGGTCCCAAGTGTCAAGGGCCCACAAAAATTGAATTATTATTATAAAATTTTAATACTTTTTCATTAACAATGAGCACTTATCGTATAGTAAAAAATAGTTAATATTAATAATGATAATTTATAGTATTATTTGTATTAACAAAAAATGGAGCACCATTGGATTTCAATAAGCCCTAGGCTCTGAAAAACCTAGATCAGCCCCTGGATAAAGGACTTTATTTTTCAAATCAACTAAATTTATTTCTCTATTACATAAAAGTGAGATGAATGGAAATAAATACTACTAGTTATTTCACCAAATTATTACCAGGTTTAACTTTTTTTTAAAGTAACAAAAAGAAGTACAGTAAGTCCGCAATTAATATTGTTGAGGAAAGATATATTTGTAATCATTTACAATTATTGTCAATTAATTCAGGTGGAGCATTAGTGAAGTCTCATAGAAGAGGCTTCACTAATGCTCCACCTGAATTACAGAATTGTGTTTGTTCTCAAAATCTGTTTGATTGATTTTGATTAAACTTTGCCATTTTCCATTATTTGAGATGAGGAATCCAAAAACTTAATGAAAGTCCATTTAAATGTACAAAATAACGATTGAGGGGTTTTCAATATACAGAGGAGTTAAACTGACAATGTCTATGCTCTCTGATGTGACTGAGCATGCCTAATGGAATTTAGGGGTCAAAAATAAAAACAGAGGTGTGTGCACATAACACAAAATAGGCATGAAAAATGACAAAACACAAGAACAAAGTAATCAATGAGTAATCAATAAACTTTGTACTTGAATCATCTCTCTATGTTGGCAAGGATCATGACTCCTGTTGCTGGCAGATATAAGGATTACCTCTTCTGTGCCTAATAAGTGCAGGAAGATAGCTTCTTTCTTTCCAGCTCTGCCTCAATTCTATTGTGATATGACAAAGTCATGCAATGTCCTAGTTTTCTTTTAACTTTCTAACACACCGGGTTGAATATAAGTCTTCTTACTTGTAACCAATTAACCGGAGCAACATTCCTTTTTAAAATGCAAAAGTTTTTGATGCCCCTTCTGGGCTCTTCTTCAGGCATTCACTCTAAACTGTTGCAAGCTGGTTCTTAAACTTTCAAATTTCTTTTGAATGTATTCGCTTATGTATTCCTAATGTAAACGCATTCCAAATCCAATGAAACTTCGTTAGACAATTATGGGTGCGTTTACTTTTTGCTAGCTTCCAAGCTTGCCGAGCTGACATCTAGCTCAGCCTGACGTCATACTAGCACGCTCGTAAAAGTATACACAGTAATGGACGCCGCCATCTTTGAACAAACTCCAAGCTCGTTGTAAATTCTCCGAGCACACCGAGCGCGCTAGGAATGCTAGCAATGATGTCATGGGTGCGAAAAGTAAATGCCGTGCTCATTGGTAGCTAACAAAAAGTATACAGGCTGAGCGCGCTAGGGGCGAGATCGGAACTAAAAGTAAACGCACCCTATATGATTAGAAATGCAAACTGCTTATAATTCAAATGATTATAATAGTGAATAAATAAATAAAAAAATAAAATAAATTTAAATGTTATCGTCCATTAGGAATTGCCATGATGTAGAATTGAATCGTGTAATTGTCTAATGAAGTTTCATTGGATTTGGAATGCGTGTGCATTAGGAATACGTAAGCGAATACATTTGAAAGAAATTTGAAAGTTTAAGAACCAGCTTGCAATGGTTTAGAGTGAATGCCTGAAGAAAAGCCCAGAAGGGATGTCGAAAACGTTTGCATTTAAAAACGAATGTTGCTCTGGTTAATTGGTTACAAGTAAAAAGATCTAGTTTTCTTTATATACAAAAGTGATTATGGGATGGGAATTAAATGGAAGTTTAAAACACACTGCAACAGAATACTTAAATTTTGTGTATATCATTTAGTCAATGGTAAAACTTGTTTTTTAACATGTCACTTTGCTTAATATTACAGTTTCAAAGAATCTATTGATGATGTTAAGTGAGGACTTGATTTACAGATTACCAATATGTAAGAGATCTTAAATGGTGTATATTAGGACTTGATCATAGCAATAAATACTATTGAAAAAGGATAAATTTTACCATGAAATGAAGTGTGCCATGTTCATTCCACTTAGTACTATTATCAGATAATCTTCTGGTGATGTATGTTTTTGTAAATGACTTTGTCAACCAGCTGGATGATTTTATTTCTGGTTGCATAGTTAAACTGATCTGGCTGTCATCTTTCCAAGATTCATGCTCTTCTTGAAAGCATTTTCTCCATTCTTTCACTATCACAAGTGATGTGCAATTATTGTCATACCCTACATTCATTCATCTGTAAACTTGTCTTTCTTCAAGTCCTTCCTCTGTAAGAAATTTCCCAACTCCTTTCTGTTCTTTTCTACCCACTTTAATTTTATTGCTTGGATGATACATAGATTTGAATTGATCAGACAATAGAACAAAGGACTTGTACATGTTGATTGTGTGTTTACTGAAAATGTTTTCTTAGCACGGTAAACTATTTTAATAAGTGCTGACATATCTTGAGTTGTTTTTGAAAAATAACCTGTCTCTCGTCTTTAATTGACTAATTCAAATGTAAGCAAAAATATGCTATAGAAACTTTGCATATTGTAATCAGAATTAGGTTATCTTTTTATCTTCAATAAGCATTTCTTTAAAGCTGTCTTTTCCTGCTATCAGTCTCAATATTTATTACCAATCCTAACTAATACTTCATATGATATTTGCTACTTCTTGAAATACAGTAGCTTAAATTGATAACATTCTTTTCTTCAATTATATATTGGCTGTAATTTTATCTGTTAAAGACAGTAGCAGATAAAAATATTGATGAATTATATATTAATTAACATCTTCATATGCCACAAAACTTGGTACTAAGTAAACTTTTAAATTCTTAAATAATCACTTATGGAAACCAAAATTTTTATTTTGTCTGAAAAACATTTTCAACCTTAATTGGGCCTAATTTTTACACAAACTTGTTCTTTAGTTTAGAACATAAAGAAGTTTATGTAAAAACTGTAATAGAAATAAATTGCATTTAAGATTTTAAAAATATCAATTAATAATAATTACTACTATATTTGCAAGTTATACATTTTTTAATTATTTTTAACATGTCCATTAATGTCAAAGTGAATAAAATCGGGATTTTCATTAGTCTTATTTACTTAATTAAAGTCCATTTAAATGTACAAAATAACGATTGAGGGGTTTTCAATATACAGAGGAGTTAAACTGACAATGTCTATGCTCTCTGATGTGACTGAGCATGCCTAATGGAATTTAGGGGTCAAAAATAAAAACAGAGGTGTGTGCACATAACACAAAATAGGCATGAAAAATGACAAAACACAAGAACAAAGTAATCAATGAGTAATCAATAAACTTTGTACTTGAATCATCTCTCTATGTTGGCAAGGATCATGACTCCTGTTGCTGGCAGATATAAGGATTACCTCTTCTGTGCCTAATAAGTGCAGGAAGATAGCTTCTTTCTTTCCAGCTCTGCCTCAATTCTATTGTGATATGACAAAGTCATGCAATGTCCTAGTTTTCTTTTAACTTTCTAACACACCGGGTTGAATATAAGTCTTCTTACTTGTAACCAATTAACCGGAGCAACATTCCTTTTTAAAATGCAAAAGTTTTTGATGCCCCTTCTGGGCTCTTCTTCAGGCATTCACTCTAAACTGTTGCAAGCTGGTTCTTAAACTTTCAAATTTCTTTTGAATGTATTCGCTTATGTATTCCTAATGTAAACGCATTCCAAATCCAATGAAACTTCGTTAGACAATTATGGGTGCGTTTACTTTTTGCTAGCTTCCAAGCTTGCCGAGCTGACATCTAGCTCAGCCTGACGTCATACTAGCACGCTCGTAAAAGTATACACAGTAATGGACGCCGCCATCTTTGAACAAACTCCAAGCTCGTTGTAAATTCTCCGAGCACACCGAGCGCGCTAGGAATGCTAGCAATGATGTCATGGGTGCGAAAAGTAAACGCCGTGCTCATTGGNGCAGTTAAGTCGTCAATGCTACTGTGTTGATATTTGATTAGCAGGATTTTGATATACAAAATCCTGCTAATCAAATATCAACACAGTAGCATTGTTAATCAATCCCGCATTAAGCAAGGGATACCTATATATTAAATTTATATACAGTAAGAACCCCAATTATCCAAGAATGTGGACCAATGCTACTTTAGATAATTTAAAAAATGGATAAAATGAATGGCCATGGCCATTTTGAATTGAAAATTATGAATATAAAAATTTATTTGGTATCACTTTAAAATCTCTTTTTATACCTTAGTGCAGTGGTTCTCAACCGGGGGTACATGTACCCCTAGGGGTATGAGTGTAAATCGAAGGGGTACATCTGACTTTCATTATAAAATGGCGTATGTTAATGAATTTGCTGTAAATTATTAACACAAGAAATGACAAAAACTTGCTTTAAAATATCCCAGTATGAACACTGATTTCTCTTTTAACAGTCCAAAAAACTTGTTTATCTACTTGATTTACCTGTCTATTTGTGCCATTAGTGCCGAGTGAACCTGTAGTCTAGTAAAATTTCGATTTAACCGAGTATTAACTTTAGAATAGATGAAAGCACCAATGTCAGCGGATTGACAGTACTTTTAGTTTTTGTGAAATATCAGTACAACGATGATTTGCGAAGATTTGTTAATGTACAATGATCTAAAAAATACAACTACAGGTTTTGATATTTTCAATAAAATCAATGATTTCATTTGAAGTAATAAAATAGATTGGAAAAAGTGCATCGACATCTGCACTGATGGAGCTAAAGCCATACAAGGTCCAATTTAAAAGATCTAAAGAAAACTTTTACCATTTTAACAATGTATTTGTGACAAAAACTAAAAAAAAAAAAAAAAAAAAAAACAGGCTTGACGCATCATTTGTTGTCAGTTAACAAGTTGGGAACCAAATTTTGAAAAAAATTGCTGAAGGTTTATTGCAAAAATATCCCATTAAATTGTTAAAATTATTGTAGAATAATTAAAATTTTGTTTATTGTGTGAGGGACAAACAGACCCTCAATAAAGTGTTATTTTAAATTTTAATTATTTTGGAATTCAATCATTTAACTTCAATCATTTTATCAAAAATCAGGCTAAAATCCATAAAAATTGTTTCCCACTGACTTGCTTCCTTGTTGAGGATGATCCATCTGGTCATTGATGTGTCACCTGGAACTTTCAATAAATTTCCAGTATTGGACACCAGACCCTTAACAACAAACTCCTGACCTCATGGAAAAACCCAAGAGGAATAGCAAGGGAGGGCGAGGAAAAACCCAAGTCAGTCGTCCTCCAAAATCTGTTCACAAAGTTGTCCTCAAAGTCATCCTCCAAAGTTTGTCTCTTCAAGAATTTATACCATGCAAAATACCATGCATCAGCCAACCTTATCCTAAGGATATCTTACACACCTACAGTCAGATACCCTTCAAAGTTGCTCCTGTTACCTGAACACTCTAAACATCAAGAACATTCCATCATTCTCTTCAAGAAGCCTGACTGTGAATCATCCAGTCGTCAATCCCCAACTTCTATATAAGGTATTTATCCACACGCGAATATCCTGTAAATTCTCTCTCTCGCGACAATTAATTTTAAGTCAATATGGATAAGATTGTATATCATTTACTTCTGCCCATTAAAATAAATTTGTTATTGTTTATTAATATGGAATCCGAGTGAATCACTTCCTCGTTCCTCTCTCCTCACCTCTACTCCAAATCTAACCGCTCACCCGCTACCTCTCGTGTGATGCAAAGTCGCGTTTTCTGAGTCCCGAGAGACTCTGTGGTGTCACATCCTGATGTGGTGTCAAAGAGACACTGACCCTATGGTCACAATTGTTAATTATAATTATTTATTTTTAGGAAATGTAATTTATGCATGTATTGAAATGACTTCTGTGATTTTATATAATATACTTATCAAATAATAATAAATAAATGTATGTACTGTACCTGTTTAAATTGATTATTATTTATATAAAATAAGTAATCCACTTTTAGTTATAGTTAATTAGTGAGAGTTTTTTTTATGGCACTCAGTTATAAGGGCTTTATACATCTAACACAGTAATTATAAAATTTACATACAAAAATATAAGGGGTACTTGAGAAACAACTAATGGGCTAATGGGGTACATCAAGAAAAAAGGTTGAGAACCATTGCCTTAGTGAATTTAATCACATATATAACAAATTTTTTACATAATTTATTATATAGCTAATACAGTAGAGTCCCGAAAACTTGGCACTCAATAACCCTGCAGTCCGGATAACTCGGCCACACCCTGGCAGGGCGAAAAAACCCCTAGTTAATTTTCATTATAGAGCTTTATGCCTCTTAAAGTATTTTCCTGAGGTCTTCTTATCAGGTAAATTACTGTGCACTGTGTATTCATTAATTTTCATTTTCATGTAGTAAAGGTGCTATGCCTTCATAAAGTACGTACTTTTCCTTTGTTTAAGGATATTTGGGCAGTTTATTCTCTGTTGTATTTTCAAGCAAACAATACAAACAATTACATTACAGTATTTTCTGAGGAAACACTCGTACTTATTCTTTTTTAACCCCATTCCCGATAACCCGGCATTTTCACAAACTCGGCCCCCTTTGGTCCACATTAGGCTGAGTTTTCAGGACTCTACTGTACCAACAATTGTTTTAAGAATAAAAATTTGTATGCTGCAGTTTCTTTTGTTCCAATAAAGAAGCTGTAATATGAAGAATTGTAATTCATAATTATAAAAGAAGTGTTAGTATGATGACTCCCATTCAAAAGAATCCATCCCCAATCTGGAAAGTTAAAAAATGTGTATTATTGTAGTTCTATTTTAATATGAATTGTATCTCATATTGAAGTTAAATAATAAAAGATAACAAAACATTTTGTAATATACATGTATGTTATCAGAATAAACAAAACACCATATATACTTTGCTCATATGGAGTTATCTATTATCTATTAAATTATGTAATTTTAGAAATAATTGTATAGAAAAATTTTAAATAATAAAGTCCAAATCAATCCATATGAATTTTATAAAAAAAGGAATAATTTAGTATTATGCATAGGAATGTTATCTGTCTATAACTTTAATAATTAGATAATTTTGTTAAAACAGGAATTAAACAATTGTCAAATTATGCATTTAATAAAAATTTAGGAGAACATTTAAAAAAAATTAAAAACTTGTATACATCATAAGAAAAGAAATCTATCTAAAGAAAAAAATAATAATAATTTGATAATTGCAAATTATCATCTATTTCTGTAGTTTCTTTATTGTGTTGTATAAGTTATTTGATAAATGTGGAAATTCAAAAACCAAATATTTAAATTAATTTGTAATCTATATATAAATTGAATTCACATCTGTTTGTCTGAGCATAATGTGAGAACAGATGAACCAATTTATATGAAACTTTGTACATACATTCAGGATAGATATAGGCTACCTTCCATTTTCAAAAATATGATTTTTATGGGCTTTGATAAAATTACAATATTATTTGCAAGAGTAAATAAATAGTTCGTATCTAGTTCTTATTCGGTCTTTTGCATGGATAGAAAATTTTGCCCGTAGGCCAATGAGTGTGAAATCAACCATGATGCTTGAATACATGCTAATATTGTGATCATTAACAGGCAAATGTGGACATCAATGAAAGCTAGTCAGCCTGATATTTCAGAAAAATGTATCCAATACTAAAAATATTACCATTGCCATTTTCACCTTTGAGACTGTCATTAAGTCCCTAGAATTTCTGTTGATGTAAAATTGTTTTTGGTTTTATCTATTATAAATTTATTATAAGTATATATTCTTTTTCTGTATATACATTTTTATAAGAGTATAACCTTCTAATATATCATTTTCCCAAACAAAGTCTCAGCTAATATTTTTAATATTTTTCTTTTTAAATTTTTAAACTTGCTCAATTCTAATTTAAAATTTTCTCAAAAACAAATCACCAATTATATTTAAGAACTTTTTACATTTGTAACCAGTTGAGATTTTAAGGCTTAAAACTGTATTCTTTAATTTTGTTCCAGAATTTTAAAATATGTAATATATTCTGAAGATAGAACCAACTTGTTTCAAAAACAAAATAATTAAAGATGTTGATTTCTAAGTAGATTTTTTTTGTTTTGGTTAATTAGTTTGAATATTTGATATTTTAATAAATTAACACTAAAATTCAATAAAGTTTCTATATTTAAAAAATTCTTAAATTCTTGTAAACAGTTTTACTTTGTACTGTACTGTACAATCAAACATTGTAAATATCCACAATATATAGGATATTCACAAAAAGTTTTGAACAATAATAATTTATAAAAATAATATATTTGATTTTTCACTGTCCAGATTTACATTGTTAAATCTAAATGAATTAGCATGTTAAACTGTTTTCAAGAATTTAGTCATTCTTAGTTAAACATTACTTGTTTGACTAAGAATAAATTCCACTAATCCTAAGTTATCAGAATTATTTATGATAGTGTATGAAGCGAGAAATGATTGCTTATGATAAAATTAAATATTAAATGTAATTTATTTTTAAAATATAACTGTATTCAAAATCATAACTCATAATTGTTTTTTAAAATATTAGAAATAATAAATTACTCTTATTGATACTTTTATTTAAAATTCTATTTTATAAGAGTATATGAAGTATAACTTAAAATGAGAAACGGTTATTTTATATAAATTTTTAATTTTTACCTGAACAAGATTCATAACAGTAAACCATAAGAAATTTGGATGAGAGCTAAGTTGTTTAATATAGGATTTCAAATTTTGAGTTTCTGTTAATGATGGATTAACTTCTGTAATGGATCTATAAGATAAAAAATTATAAAAACTATTATTATCTTAATTTGATTTGTTTAAGTAACTATACTTTAAATAAAAATTTCAATATACAATTTTTTTATATTATTCAAAAATTCAGTAGTTATATTCAAAAATAAATAATTTTAATTTTAACTGCAAAAAATTTAGTTTAATAATAATTTTCATGTTAATTTATTATAATTTCTAGCAGATAACACAAGTTATCTATTTGAAAATCAATTTAAAAATGGGTGCAAATTATGCAATAATATGCGTTTTCTTCCAGTTTGCAATTATAAACTAATCAAATAGGCATTTTTCGTTGTCTAAATTAATCAAAAGTGTCTAATAAAATGCAAAAAATGTTTATGTGACCAATGCTCTAGGATTTTTTCATGCAACAGTTTCAAAGACTTACTAGGAATACTTAAATTCCAGACAGACATTAGCAACATGTGCACAGTGAAGGTGCCCATGGCTCATGCAAGAACACGACTGCTGGTGACTAACCAGGTTAGTAACCACATAATGAAGGGCAACTCTGAACCAAATCACATCAGACTTGATGGGTGATGATTGACTGAGGTTGACTGATGGGTTCAGCAGCATCTGTGTTGAAGTCTGAAAACAAGATTCATCTAAGCACACAACACAGTACAAGTCACCCATTGTCCAATTTCGATGGTCTCTAGCCCAGGTGAGATGCATTACTGGTGCCTGGGAGTTAGTAGTGATAGCCAAGTGGACCAACAACTATCAGACCCCAAGGAATGAAGTGTAAATCAACACACTGTATGTTGTACAGTGTGTTGACTTACACTGTACAAAGCTGATAGTCATGTTCCTTTGTGGCAACAACCACATGAAGCCATTGTGTCAGCAAGGTGTTGAGCAAGCTGGTGGCAGCTATGTCCTGGTTTGGAGTGGATTCTGTTGTTGTGAACAGGGACCAATGGTGAGACTGCAATTAATTTTGACAGCTATGACAACATACACTAATCTTGTAGCAGATGTTTTGCACCCCTTTATCCCCTGATGGTAATGATTTGTACTGGATAGGATAATGCCATTCCTCATAGGGTATGGATAGCACAAGAATGGTTTAACACTTGGCAGATTTTCAGCTACTCCCTTGGCTGCCTCAGTTGCCAGACTTGAACCTCATAGAGCATTTATGGATGCTGTGCAACCTTTACTCAATACCTTGAAGAACTATCCAACAAATTCACTGAATTACAGAGAGCCACTGAACATGTCTGGACTGAAATACCTGTGCAACATCTCAGACACGTCATAGAGTCTATGCCATATCATGTAGCCACTGTTATTCAGGCTTAGGGAGGAGCTACACATTATTAGGTAGGTGTGTTTAATTTTTTGGCACCAGTTTATTATGGTGATGCTATAGTGTATCCTACATGGCATATATACTGATGATTAATGCTATGCTGGATCAGGATCAAGACATAAGTGAAGAACAAGCTACAGTTATGTTTATGTGCGATTTGTGTCTTATATCTGTGGTTTAAGAATTTTCTGAATATGTGACGAGTGTAGCATGGCAACCTTCTGTAGATATAGAATGAAAAAATTTTAAATGTAAATTGGGTCTCAAAGCACACAGAAAGATGTGAAAAAACAGATTTAATTATCTTTCAAGTACTTTTACTTGTAACATTGCAAACTTCTTCAGGAACACTGAGAGTGGAAAAAATGCTTTTTGAAAAAATTTAAAGAAATATTCATTTTTTTTTTACAATGGATGGCAATAACAGGAAATTAATAAATAGGGACCAAGTGAAAAATTATTGCATAAAAACACATACATTTAAATAATAGTTACACAAATGGTAAATACAAGTTATAAAGTGCTGCATGTGTAAACATGTGTGGAGAGAAATTGTAAAAAACATGTTCATAGGTTTAACATGCCTAGTATAAACAAATGTCTGCAAACTTTCCAGAACATTCTAAAGTCAGAGCATTGATCAGCTGCAGTCTATAAATAAAGAGTGACTTCCAGAAAAAGTTTTATTCTCATTTCTAGTGGATAGCAAACATTACATCATCCTGGATAGGCATTTAAATACTTGTAAATGAGTGTGGAAGATAATTGTAAAAAATTTTTTACAACTTATTGTTTATGTTCATTACAATAAGGTCCTTCACTCAGTCTACAGAGAACTTACCCGACATATTAATAAAGGATTGCCTATAAAAGAACTCCTACGATCACCTTGATGCTTAGAAATGAGAAGGAGCAAACTGAAAGAAGCCTCCCATAAGGGGTATATAGTTTACCTATGCAAGACTGCATATTGCATGGTTGTTTTGAATATGTGGGTGCTATGGCTAGGTACATCAAGGCAAGGGTTAAAAAACATGATTACAACCTTATAAAGCAACCAACTTCCCTGACTGCTCTTGTCACTTAGGTCTTGGATGGTGATGTACCATACAGTACAAGAATATGTCTCCTGCACTATGTAGGGACCCACACCAGCTAAGGTATCTTGAAAAGCTTGAGATTTATAAAGTCACCTGAAAACGGACAGCAATTAACTATAAGAGAAAGTATTCTATCTCATCCACATGGAGAGTGTTATTTGAAACTCCTAACTGGCAGTGGATGTAACACTAAAGCTTAATTCACACTGAACTTGATTTGTTGGCGAAAGCGAAAGACAGAGCGGATAACTCATCAAACATGACTCGTCTGACAGGTTATTCACTCTGTTTTTTGCTTTTGCCAGCGAACTGTGCTCAGTGTGAACTAAGCTTAATAGTCATGAGCGTATGTTATTGTGCTTCTTATTTATTTTTTAAATTAAAACATTCTGTTCCAGCTTTCATCTTAGTGTTCTATATACTTTTAATTGAATCTGACAATGCCCACTGTATATGTATGAAAACATTTGTTTAAGTAAAGGACTTTTGATTTTACTGGTTTTTTTTAGTATGTTACATTTGTCACAGCATTGCACAAGCTTGTAGTGATTATCATTAAGTATATGTAACATCGTCATTATATATATATCTATATATTTCGTATTGTCACGTAGCGGGGTGTGTTGTAATTTTATTCCGTAAAATTTGTATCACATCTTGCGGTGTGGGGGTGCGAGCTCGTGATTGGCCCGTGAGCTCTGACGTATGTTACCACATCATGTATATGGTGTGGGTTATAAATGGAAGGGCCACGTGTATGTGAGCACTTTTTTTTTCCTGGATCGTGTCCGGTCTGCATCAGAAGAATCGAGTTGGAGTGCGAAAGAAAGAGGAAGGAGGAACAACCACGTGGAAGTGAAATCAGCAAAGGAAGAGAGAGGCATCACACGGAGGGCTCAACTATCATCATCCATGTAAGAATATTGTACTAGTCCTAACGTAAAAGACCCCTGATTGTCGCATCGCGTAAGTGTGCTAGGAAGAGTGACGGGATTCCCAGCTATATTTTTAAATGTAAATGAACCTCAGAATTACATCGTTCTCTGATTAAATCTGTTTTGTGCCTTATCTTTTTGTGCAGTCCTTATCATTCTTACCCTCACTTTCACACTGTTGTACTTCGGTATGCTACAGCACAACAAGCTTTTTAATTTCTCTTGCAAAGAAGCCTCTGCCTGTAAGTTAAACAAACCCTGCACAGCAATCTTCCCAGCATTGTCACTATATTCATCTCTTTATTGCTGAAAATTTCTTTAGGTGAAGAAACATGAAAATCTTTAAGTGTAAGATATCCAAGCTGTTAACTTCTGAAAAAATTCCAGAATCCAAGTGGATTCTGGAATTTTTTCAGAAGTTGACACATTGCACCAGCAGTGTGGGGCCACACATTTTAATGCAGCAGAATGACTTCAGATGTGAGGAGATTTTTTGTTCTGAATGGCTCTCTATAGTTTTCATAGGGTTTTACAGTAGGCAGTTGCTTTATGGTTTAACTTCTGGGTTTGAATTCAATCAGCAGAATACCTTATTGGTTTGAAAAAACTATACACAAGCTTTCTGGCAGATATGATCTGCTTGAACTTTTTCTATGGTGGTGAATCAGTATGCCACTTTTGCGTGGATTGCTGTTTACTGTTTGTTGTCATGTAGGAAATCTAAGTTTCATCTATTTTCATGGAGCAAGAATTTTGTTCCATCCTTCTGATAGCATTCCAAAAATGCCAGTGCAGTTCCTATGTGTTGGAGTTTGTGGGTATTTCTGTTAACTTTTTTGGCACTCATCTTGCACAGAGCTTGTGATAATGCAAATGCTTTGTGATGATTTCATAAAGTATTTAAATTAAAGTTTCAGGAAAATATGTATGGAGCTCAGAAATGTTGAATTCTCTGTTTTCTTGAATCTTTCCATACACTTGCTCCAGAAGGTTAACAGTGATTAATGAGGGTTCCACTCCATTCATTATCATGCAGATTGGTGTTTTTCCCACTTTAAACATTTTGCTCTATTTTTTTTACCATTCCACTTGTCATTATCTTTCTATCATATATAAATCTGTTGATGAATTTAAACTATTCAATAAATGAAGGTTTTGGCTTGCAGCAATTTGATGACAGTTCAAACTACATACTAGGTGGGATTATCACTTTTTCTTGCTCATTTTAAAGTATTATAACAAGCATCTGAGTACTGTATCCAACTAATATTAATGTTCAATTTCTCATTCCAGGCCCACAAGTCATCATTAATGTGGTGAATTGTCACTGGTACCACCTGCACAGCCACTGTGTGTAAACAATTCTTACTTTCTGACTAAACCTCGTAGTTACCGTAAAGCTAAAATTTTTCTATCTTAAGATATTTTATAATATTTGCTTTAGCTTTTTGGGAACACAATTCACTTTGCAACAATTCTATTCAATTTTTGTACACACTTTAAGAGTATATTATGAGACATATAGGAATATTGAAAGTTATGGACTTCCTTTACTCAATAATTTAACAGAATAATTAACAAATATCCATTGTTAAAATATAAATTTTCATCTATAATTTCATATCTTCTATTATCAGGATTTATTATACTGGCTATATACAGGACTTATTATATTCTATTCCATATACAGGTATACGGAATAAAATAAAAATTTTTTTCTGTTAAACTTTGTAGCATTATCTGTAAAGCCATTATAATAAGTCCTGATAATAGAAGATACGAAATTATAGATGAAAATTTATATTTTAGTAAGAAAAAGGACATTGAGGCATTTTAATTAAATATCCATTGTATTTAAAAAACAATTTAAGTGTCATCTTTTATTGAAAATACAATGAAAATTAAAATTATTTCAATATTTAGGCTACTTTACTAAATAATATTTATTTAAATACAGATAACATACCTATATTTTTCTTCAGTAACAGATGCAGATGATTTATAATATGTAGTAAGATAATAACAACAAATTTTGAATCCAATGCCTGAAATGATGGCAAGGACTAAACAGAATATTCTAAATGAAACAGGATCATCATGACTCCAAAAGAGATATGAAAGAAAAACAGATGATGATCCAAGACAACTGAAAACTGAATTATATGAATTAAGTTTGGCACGTAATCTTGAAGACAGAGCCAGGTCTGCTAATAAAGCTGTATGTTGAAGATCAATAATTGTTAAAAAACTATCATATAAACAAAGACAAATTACAAATTGTATGCCAGCAGGAATCCAGAGATACCAAAATAATAAAAATGCCATTGAAAATAAAGGACCAGTTTTTCCTAAGGCAGTAATGCGATGAATAACAATTGCTGTTCCTGAATTAGATACTTTTTTAGTAAGAAAATGTTTATCACTTATCCAACCAAATAAAGGATCGTTTAATGAATTCCAAAGCAAGAAGATAGTTTCCCCAATCCAAAAAGTCTGCTGATCTATTTTATAAATAGATACAAAAGTTTCTACATGATACAATAAAAAAATGTTATGAAGGATTGATAAAAACAAAGCCAGAGAGCCATAAGCTGAGTAAATTGATAATGGCAAAGTCATTTTACTAAACTTTAAATTAATTTTGTAACAAAAAATATGAAATTATATATCAAAATAATTATGAATTTCTTGTAAATGAGTCAACATTCATAGTATATAAAACAATAATTTTCCATTAGTAGTGAAGATTCCCTGAAAAGAGACAAAAATAAAATTACACAATAATAAAAATAATTATATTAACTTTATGTTTTATTAACTTTATAACAATTAAATAGCATTAAACAACTTTTCATTTGTTATTCTTTATCATTCCTATAAAAAGCTGTGATAGATGTTGAGAATTAATATAAATTTCTTATATGTAGAAAGCTGTGCATTTAATCAGATAAAAGTATACATAATTATTTTAAAACTTAAAAAAAATTAATTGAATATACCTAAGCCATTCTCTTAAACCTTCAAGTATTAAAACAAACAAAATGCTTAACTGAACACAGGAAAATCAACACTGTAGCATTTTTGGCTAATAAGAGTCTTAGAATAAACTACAAGCATTCTTAAACACAATTTTATATTTACATTTATATTTTTGACTAATTGAAATTGAAACTTAAAAAAATTTAAAAAAAATGTTTTTTGTAATAACAAAAAAGTTATTTTTTATTTCAGATAAGTTGTAGGTTTTGTTTTGATTATACTGTATTGTCATATAATCATTTACTTATAAAGTAATAAATATATATTTTTAATTAATTTTAATTAATTGTTCATTTGTATTATTTTCATTGCAATTATATGTTACTTTCAATTTAATCTAAATAAATTTATGCTGGAAGTAAGCTATTTATACATTGAAGCTATTTAATTTTGGGTTTTATTTAATTTGTTTGGTGTTTTAATATGATTATCTATATTAATAAAACATATTATTAATACATATTACACAAAGAGTAGCATAGTATCACACTTAGTAAACTGCATTATTTCATTTCAGGTAAATGTAATATAACTATATCACTTCATTGAGCATTATATGATCTTCATATAGTAATAGCAGCATGCTGAAATTGTAGAAATGAAGTTAAATTATAAAAATTATTTTAATAAAAATAATTTTCAGATTTCATTCAAATAAAATCACAAAATTCACTGTTAGTTTTTATTGATTATTCAAAATTAATTTGTAAATTGTTATTGATTATTCATTCAATTAAATGACATATCATTATTTTTAATTTTACTTTATTATTTAATGCTGAATAATTCATATGAACAAATGAGAATACATGTTTCCATTTATTTCTAAGACCAAATCTTATTTATATTTATATATTCTATACTTAAATGAACTTATGACCATCAACCAATCAAATGAGACCATGGCATAACTTAAAAAAAAGAGAGAGGAATACTCTTGGAATGATACCATTCCAGAACTTTTGAGGAAACAATCTCCGTTCTGTTTTCCTGCAGTATAACTTTTGTTTGTTTTAATGTTAATTAACTTATTTAACTAGTTATCTTAATTAATAAATTAATTTTGTGTTTCTAAAGTCATTATTATTCTATTCATGACAATGTTGCTTCATGTAAGAAAAGTGATTTTACATAAGACAGATGTTCACTAATTTTTACACAAGATATAATTTCTCTAATAAGTATCTATCTGCAATAGATTTTTGTTTAGTTAAAAGTTATTTATTTTTACTGAAAATTTTGAATTGTTTACAAGAATAAATGATGATCATTCTAAAGAAGAATAAATGATGAGAAGCATAGCTAAAACGTTTATGAAACCAAAAAATTTTAAATAAACATTTTTTTCCCCCACAATATTTGGATGTCTAGGAAAAGTCAGACTTCTTTAATAGCCAGGTGTCAACAATGCTTTTATAAAAAGTATTACTAATTCAACATTTTGTGAATTTATTTAGCTTTTATAATTAAATAAACTTTAAATTTAAAGAATGTAGTTAGATTTAGATTTTCAAAATTTACATAAAGATATTAAGTTTTTAGATATTTTATTTTTTTGATAAAAATTGAGCAGTGGGAGAGGAATAAGGTTACATATAGTATGACTCACATTATATGGATTCACCAAGGACATCATCAAGGAGATTTGTTCAAGAAAAATTATTTCTAAGACCAAATGAACTTGTTGTGGTAATGTTATCAGAATGTGAATAGCTTTTCACTTTGAATTCTATTACATAAATTTTTAACAAAGAGTGCTCTTCAGAATTCTTGATCAAGAATATATTCATATATTTTTGTCAATCAACTAAACCTCCATATGATCAACTAGTTGATCACTGTTGATGTTATGGACATTCAATTACAATACAGTGCATTAAATATTATATATAAAATTGAATATTCTGTATCATGTATGATACAATAATGTCATTTACTAAAAATTACCACAAGATCTCAAAGGTAACCATATGATTTTGTGTTGGGGAAAAAAAAAATTCAGACCTCTAACCAATCAATTTAATCACTAAAATTATGTTCCTTAAAACCAATGATTACCAGATTAAATTGGACTACATTGCTGCTACTAATAATTGTTAAATTATTATATGTATATGTTTCTTAACTAATTGTTAATTAAGCCAATTATTAACAATTTATTTATTTATATAAAAAATAATCTATCTAGAAAAGCACACTTACAAAATATAAATCAAATATTAAATAATTTGAAGTAAAAATTCGAAATCTTTAATTTTCATCTTATATTTGGCTCATTTATTGTTCAGAACTGAATAGATCTTGTATTTATTTGTATTTAACAAACAATTCAAAATTTCATAACAAGAAATTTTATTATAAAATTGTTACTATAATTAAATATAACTACTATTACAATTCTATGAATAATAAAACTTACTTTTTCACAGTGAAATCCAATTAAATATAACATTAAACAACCTAAAAAATATATTTAATAATATAGTATAGCAGTGAAGAGCTTATATTTTTAAAGCAATGCATATATTAAAATTGAAAATGTTTCATATAAATAATAATAAAAAATTATTTTCTATTGTACAATAACTTACAAATATTTCACTATTGTATTCAGAAATTTAAATTTTCCTTTACAATATAATCTATCATTTAAAACAATAGTCTATAATTTTCCAACTTGAATAAAACTCAAAAAATATTAATATTTTGAATTTTTACAAGTTTTAAACAATTTGGAATTTTTAATTAACATCAAAAATTAATTACTTAAAGTTTCAAATTGTATTATTTTACAGGTGTATTATTTACATTATAAAATGAATTTTTTATATTTTAGGTTTTCTATATTATTCAAATTACATAATATATAACTGAATATTGTATCATTCATCTTACATCAAAATTTAGTTACTTACAATTCATCTGTGATAGCACCACTGAATTTCAATTTATAGCTATATAATAGAATTTATGTAACTATTCAGTTTTACTTTTAGATTTTAAAAAACTGATCTTCTAATTCTTAATATATAAAAGACTGTGTATATTAGCATTGGAATTTAGTTAAAACACTGAATTTAATCTCTTATCAAATATTTTAGCAATGTAAGTATGCAGAGATACTACACGAGATATATACTGTAAATACATGCATACATTTCTATCGATACTGAAAATTATATAATAATTCACATGTGTGTAATCACGTGTAACCTGTGTTTACATGTACAGTACAGTACATTCATATTCCCGAAAGAATAAATACAATTAGCCTTTAATGTCACTCACTTATATGAGATGATAATGTAATTTCAATTAAAAACTCGCGGAACCACCTTTTTTCGGGCATTTTTTTTAAAGATAACGACAATTATATGTGACGTAATACGAATGAATGATACATCCGACGTAAGAATGAATGTGCGTATTTAGCGCACCCGCGCGAAAGAAATTTTGAATTTTGGCAGATAAAAATTACCATAATGAGAAATTTTCTTATAAAGCAAAATGTCGAAAATATTAATAAATATTATTGTGTTTAGAAAGCGGGTAAATTATATTTCTCGGTTTTAAATGTAGTATTTGGAAAACCGCTGAATAATCTAACGCAAAAAACGAATTTTATGGATTAAATACTATATTTGAGATTTGATTAATTATATAAAATTTAATAAATTAGATTTTTAAATTTTTATAAAATCTAGAAGGGTCATTAAATTTTAATGATTTTTAAAAACTCTTTCCGCCCCCTGGGCACTCTTTTTACAAGCCCCTGGTTCGGCCCCCATTTAGCAAGCCCAAAATGGGACGACCGGGTGGTGAGGGACGGATCCCGACATATCCGGTCCGACCACTCCCGAAAAATTCCTGGGGATTTTTCGACCCGTCCGGATTCGATCCCGGATTCCCAGAGCGGTAGGCTGCCACTTTGACCTCTAGGAAAGTCCCGAAGAACACTTGATATCTATCCTCAAAATTGACATATATACATAAACAAAGATAAAAATTACATAAAATTATAAATGCATTGCATTATAAGCCTACATTAAATACCGATTAAAATACAAATATAAATTAAAACAAAAAAGTATAAAGTTCTTGGAAAGAATTCGTTAACCGCTTTTGACCTACAATAATTAACGATTTGTCGCGAGCGCTCGTGCTATGATCTTATATCTCGAAAACAAGTCATGGACCCCATTTTTTATACGGTTTTGGATTCCTCGTCGCAATTAATGGAAAATAGCAAAGTTTAATTAAAATCGATTGAAAAGATTTTAAGAACAAACAATTCTGTAAACCACATAGAAGAAGTATACTACACTAGACTTATTCTTTGGTAAAAAGATCTATGTAATGAAGAATTGAGCGATCATATAATATAAATTATAAATGATTTACGAGGATGATTTGATAATTATCTGCAATATATTTTAAAAATTTACTACAGCAAGAATAGATCATATAAAACCATTTTAACAAATATATAAACAAATCCCTGCTTTTCAATGCACTTAGTCACATGCGTTGAAAGTAAAAAGAAATCCATAAATCCATCATTGTAGAAATGTTTTTACATCTTAAGATAAAAAAAATAATGTTTTCTGCTGAGAAGCGAACCACTGATGCATCACTTCCTTCACTTCTTGGGACAGAATTTTTTCAAATCACAGGTTGTATCTTATCATGCAGCATTTCTTTATAATGATCACAGTTTACTGTTGAAAAACAAAATCATCCGTTCTTCTTCGGGGAAAAAATTAAAACTTAACCGTCAGCAGAAAAGCGAAGCTTAGTTTTTGGGGAATCACCTAGACAAATTCTAGAGGATTTTGAAGACAGGAAGGAATCAGCAATAAAACAGTGTTCATTACAGTGAAGTGATGAACAACAAGATAAAACCTTCAGTTTGAAAGGAACGCTATATCAAAAAGTGAAGACACTCCCTTCATTACTTGACAGATGCATGAGTGACTTTTTAACTGAAAATATTTTTCTGCACGCATAACGAAACTTGTTCAACCATAGACCGCATGCATTAGAAATCAAGGAGAGTGTATATAAAAAAGTGAAGATCCCTATTCTTTCTGTAATAAAATTTTAAAATACATTGTAAATAATTATTGACTCACTTTAAATATCATATTTATGGTCCTCATTATACCATAGTATTTTATACTTAGAAATCTGGAAGCTTTCGTCGGGTATTGAAACACTTTTCGAAAAAACATAGAAATGTGGTCGTCAAAATCTTTGAAATCAGCAGGTGTCAGTTCAACTACATCAAAGTTATAAGATTGTAGCACTGCTAATTATCTGTTGTACAAAAATTTTTATTAAATTACAGAATGACTAATTTTTCCAGGATTTGTTTATATGACTCTGTTACCACCATATGATGGGTGAATGGCCACGTAGGCAATTCAATTAGGGTCGAACTCCTGGATATCGGACCTCGTTCATTTGTCTCAGAATGTCAACACGCTCTTGCATAACACTGAAGAGAAATTTCTCATACAACACAGATTGAGAACTGGTGAATCCTTGTATAACACGGTTTTCTTCTAACACGGTTCGAGCATTGGAAATATCCCTGAACAAAACGGAGATATTTTTCCGTAAACTTAAATATCACAATTTTTAAATGCAAATACCGTCATTCAATATATATATATATATATTTATTCCAACAAGCATGCGTGTCGTCTTATATTTGCCCATGCATTTTAGATATTGAAATTTTCAATGTTGTTTCGTGTCTTTTGTCCGGTTTCTTTAACGAGAACTGATCGTAAATTTGTCTTCTTCCTTGTCCTAGCTTCCTATTCTAGCTTTCCTATATACTGGGTTCTCTGTCGTTGATGATAGTGCTCTTAATGAACTCGAAAGACTATCGCCGTATTTTGTTTTTTATGGATAAAATTAAAGTTATTACTACATAAAAAGATTAAAATTTTAAAGATCTCTTAGGTAAACGCAAGAAAATTAAAATATCAGATCGTAAAATCTGATATTTTAATTTTCTTGCGTTTACCTAAGAGATCTTTAAAATTTTATCTTTTTCTACTCCGTAAAGAGTAGAAAAAGAAACAGAAAAATCAAGATGTAGCTGATTAAGGTCTACAAGAAAGCTCAGAAGATGACCATATTCTGCGAGAAAGACAACGTTTTTGTTTAACGATGTTTGTCAGCAAAGAAAAAAAAATTATATTAACTTTTGATTGTGAATGTCAGTTAATTATTGATTGCTTTAATAAACATATTTTTCTTAATTACGACAAACAATAGTATCCTTTCGCTAACTTTTGGAACCTAATCCTATGTTTTGTACTAATTCTTTGTTCCGTATATAACAAATTCGCATAGCATAGCACTTTTTCGGTACCTAACTACAGTACCATGTTATACGGAGGATATCTATTTTATTTTCAAAACGAATGTGTTATTATTTTAAATACAATTAATTTTCATTTAAGTTACCTTGAAACTGCTCTCTTTTATAAGGTAATGTATAAAATGTTAGAACATTTATTAGTTAACAGTTCAGTAGACCCTCCTAATAAGTCAGAAGAACAATTTCGAAATAGCAAAACTATAAATACATCGACCGAATGAACACAAAGAAATAGATAAATAAATAAAAAAATGAAAGAAAGAAGAATGATTACAACGAGTATAAAAGAATGCGGGTTATTTGAGCTCAAACACGGAAACGAAAAGAGCATATGAATAGAAAAGGATAGATAGAATGTAAGAGGATCGGTCATTTATTGAGTAGTCATTTTGCAGTATTTTTATTGTTTGGTGATACCAAAAAATATCATATTTTTTGCCTAGTCTGACGTTTATGATTGAAATGTTAAATGAATGAGTCCACACTGTTATAACTTATTACTTTATAATCACAAAAATCTAGAGGGGAAATTCTACCAATTTCACTCTAATAACTCATTAGGTTTTTTATGGTGTGCTCTCATCTTGTGTTTTTTCGATTTATATGTCGTTGGCTAGTTGCCTGACTTGTAAAGCTATCGCTAGGTAAATCTGTGATAAATCATGACTCCTGCAAATAATTATGGATAATATGGGTTTGAATATCGTTCCCTATCTGTACTTGTGCTAAATTGACCCATTGCTCGTTTTGAATATTATGTTGAAACGTTTTCCGATTTTCGAATGTTATTTCCTGAAGTTGGTCTATAAATAGACCGAAAACAATGGACGACAATGGCGAAGGTGAGCGCCATTTACCAGTCCGCTCACCCTGATATAATTTATTCAAGTCTATCTATATTGACCATTATTGGAAGGTTTCTTTAAATGTGAACTGATTATTCTTCAAGTAATTATGTGTATGTGTATATACAGTACATATAAACGTTCTCACTAAAAGTTCTTTCCGCTTATATGTCTTACTGAAATCTTGCTAAATTTAAAAAATTGGTTTAATATTTATCTTGTATACTAGTACTTTATTAATTAACAGGACTTATTATACTGGATTTATGGATGCAGAAATTTAGTCTTACAGATCAGATATAATATTTTTTATTTAGTTCACCTCAAATCAGGTGAACTAAATAAAAAATATTATTAATAAAAACTTAGATTTTCAGAAATCTTTCGCTAGTTGCCAATACACATAAAAAAGTTAAAAAAAATAAACAACTGAGAACAAGCCACAAATACACAGTAATACTGTACAAATAAAAGTTTGTTTTGTAATGTCTTTTTTTTAGCTTGCTTGCTTTGCTATTATATTTGCTGAACAGTGAACTCGAAGATCACTTATCTTACATGTGGATTGATCTGTATTATTCCTAGATTAGTAGAGATATTGGTTTAGTTTGATGTAGTTAACATGCGTATTTTTTTTTTCTCAATAAAGGAAGGGGCTTGACTATCCCAGATGAATAAAAAGGAAGAAGAAAATTGGAATAGTGACGTTATTTGAAAAGATGAATCAATTTCATTCGTAATAGAATGAAACGAAGACACTGTGTTTGGGAGTGGAATATACTGTATACGGAAAGATATACCGGTACTCCCCGACTTAGGTAAAGTTAGCTTTACTCAAAAAGTTTTTATTATAAAGATATATTAATAAATTTACTATAAAAGTAAGTCAATTCTATAATTCAATATACCGTATACTCCGGGGTATAAGACGACTGGGCGTATAAGACGATCCCCGACTTTTGAGAAGATTTTCCTGGGTTAAAAAGTCGTCTTATACGCCGGAATATACGGTATATATACGGTAGTTATATACGGTATATTCCGGCGTATACGGTAGTTATATTAGCTTTATATTTTATAAGTGCAATGGATAAAGTGCAATGGAATAAGATTCTGACAATGAAATACTGTATATAATATATCGATGAATAGAAATGACTATACAATAAATTAA